GCTCCTCCAGAGTGCTGCTGCCGAATCCTGAAGAGTCCTGAAGACTCCCTCCTGCCTCCTGAACTGCACGTGAAGTGCCTGGGAAGTACCTAGGAACTACCTGCCTGCCTGCAGGGCGGGCCAGTCCTATATAGTGCTGGCCCGTCCAGGAGACTGCTCTTGCCAATGCCGAAACGTGCCAGACCCTGGTGTTGAAGCTCAACCAGGGGTTGTCTTGAAAACAGGGCCGAAATGGCCTGTGCTAAAACCCTGGTTTGTTGCCTGAGTTTCAGGGCAGGTCGAACTGATGAGGGCCCGAATATGGCCCTCAGTTTCAGGCTGAAAACACTGAGGGCCGGAAAGGCATGATTTAGTCTGAAACGACACAGGGCCTGTAGGCCCTTGTTTTCAGGCTGAAACGACACAGGGACTGTAGGCCCTTGTTTTCAGGCTTTTGGCCTGAAAACGTCACGGGCCTGGAAATGGCCGTGCAGGCTGTTGCAGGCGCAGCATGTAACACCCCCCCCTCCTTATGAAGTCAAGCCGGGTCGAGGGCGAAGCTGGCGATCTGAAGGTGGAACCTGAATGCGGGTGCGATGTGGAGCCGAAGATACCGGCTTGCCTTGCATTTTGCGTTCCTAGCGTGCGAGAACATATGGAGCTGTTGATTGGAGTTCCACACGGGTCAACCAACGGTCAGCTTTGTGAGTGCAGTACGCAAAATGTACCAAGTACTCGGTTGGCCTGTCGCCGTAGCGTCGTTGCGAGATGATGTTGTCGACCTCCTGAAAACCGTCCATAGAGGGGGGGTCTTGCGATCGTTGCCCCGAAAAATCGTCATGTTCCGCTGGCGTGTAAAGAACCAAGTTGGAGCAATGAAAGACTGGGTAGACGGGCAAGTGGGCGGGCACCTAAATAGGGAAGGAAGGTCCTTCGGGTGCATCCCCAGCGGGTGCCACGATCGTCCAGGGCCCCATCCATTTCGGGAGGAGCTTGCGAGAGATATCTTGTTCAAGGCTGAATTCCGAGGCGGAAAACCAAACGAGATCGTCGGCGCGGAAAGAGCAAGGAAGATGCTGGCGATTGGCCTGTTGGCTCATGCGTTGCTGCGTCTTGGCCATCTGGTCGCGTGCCTTGACAAGTAGCTCTTGCATCCGATGTAAGAAAAGAAGATGGTCGTCGCTCTCGGTCGTTCATGGAATGATTGTGTCCAACGGCGAAGTGACCGGCGAGCCGTGCTCGAATTCGAGGGGCGACATCCCGATAGCCAGGTGGATGGATGAGTTGTAGGCCAACTCGACATCCGGCAGCCGCTCCACCCAATCCTTTTGGTCGGGGCGGATGAGAGTGCGAAGGAGAACCTGTGCGGTCTGATGCGGCCTTTCCGTTTGGCCGTCGGTTTCGGGGTGGCAAGCCGAACTTGGCTTGAGAGATGAGCCCCATCGTTTGATTAGCGCCAACCAAAAATCGGACATGAACCGAATGTCGCGGTCGCATACGATTTCCTTGGGGTAACCCTTGGTTCGAATCCAACCGGCATAAAGAACCTCGGTAACTCCGGTGCCTTGGCATGATAGCGGCAAGGCAAAAACATGGCGAACTTGGTGAGTCGGTCGACCACCGTGAGAATCCCATCCACGCCGGTCTTGTGCTTGGGGAACGGGCCGGTAATGTCCATGGCAATCGCTTCCCTTCGCCGCGAGGGGACCGGTAATGGTTGCAACTCGTCGTATGGACGATGGTTGCGGGATTTGCAGCGTCGGCAAACCTCGCATGACTCGCCTAGCGTGTGACGTCGCCGAGAAGGTTGGGCCACCAAAATCGCTCGCGAAGTCGGCCAATCGTGCGATTGACTCCAAAGTGTCCGGTGGTGGGAGCATCGTGGAACTCGCCAAGAAGTCGTGTACGGAAGCGAGGGTCACTCGGTACGCAAAGAAGGTCCTTCCCCCGTGTGTGGACAAGCAAGTTCCCCTCTTGGATCCGATAGTGAGAAGGCGCCGGATTAGGAGAGGAGCAATTCGCTACTTGTCGCAGAACTCGGGGTCGGCTTGGTAGCCGCGGATGAAGCTGTCCCGCAGATCCTTGTCGATCTCGAAGGTTGAATAGACCGCGGTACAATGATCCGGACGTCGTGAAAGAGCATCCGCAAAACGGTTCGACTTCCCCGGAATGTGACCGGAAAAGAAGTCGAACTGGTCGATGAAAGCCATCCATCGAGCGATGGTGTTGTTGACGGTGTCTTGGGTCTTGTAAAAGACCAACGGATTGTTGTTCGTTACCCATCGGAATTGACTTCGACCAAGGAGGAAGTGTCGCCACGGCTTGAGCGCGTGGACGAAAGCGAGGAGCTCCTTCTTGCGTGCATCGTCAATGGAGTGCACGACGGGCACTTTCTTGCTGAAATACTCGACCGGGTGCCAGTCCACGCCATCGTGTTGCTCAAGGACAGCACCAATGCCATAGCCAGACGCATCCGTAGTGACGCTCGTAGGCAAAAGCGGGTCGTATATGCATAAGACCTCCGCAGATAATAGCGCAGCTTTGAGAGCCAAAAATGATTCCCACGCATCCTCTCCAAAGTCAAACGGTCGATCCTCGCATTGAAGCTTGGTCAAGTGCGCCGCGATCTTCGAGTAGCCTTTGATAAAACGCTGGTAGTAGCCGGCAAGGCCAAGGAACGAACGGACATCCATGACGTTCCGCGGGTCCGGCCACTTTTGGATGGCTTGAATCTTGTCCGATAGCGGACTGATGCCCTCCGGTGTGACAAAATGGCCCAAGTATTCCAGCTCTTGCTGGGCAAATTCGCACTTGTCGCGGTTGGCCTTGTACTTGGCGCGGCGGAGCGTCTCCAACACTCGTCGAAGGTGCTCAAGATGATCCTCCAATGACCGGCTATAGACGAGAATATCATCTAAGTAGACCAGCACAAACCGGTCCAACATTGCCCGGAACTCATTGGTCATTGTCGCTTGAAAGGTCGTCGGGGCGTTGGTGAGGCGAAAAGGCACGACCACCCACTCAAAATGTCCATACCTCGTCTTGAACGCGGATTTGTAACGATCGTTCGGTCGGATCGAGATTTGATGATATCCCGACTTCAAATCCAACTTAGAAAAATACTTTGCGTCGCCCAATCGCTCAAGAAGATCGTCGATACGAGGAAGAGGCCCCGCATTCTTGACGGTTTGCGCGTTGAGCTTGCGGTAGTCGATGCACAATCGTAGATCTTTGTTCTTCTTCCGTACGAAGAGAACTGGCGCTCCGTATGGAGAGCTACTAGGGCAGATCCAGCCCTTGTCCAACAAATCATCGAGTTGCGCGCGGAGGACCGTAAGCTCCTCCTCGCTCATGCGATAAATGCAACCTTTCGGCGGCACGGCACCAGCCTTGAGAATGATCTTGTGAGAGATTGGCCGATCCGGCACCACACCGGTAGGTGACTCGAAGATGTCGGCGAACTCGTCAAGCAACTGCACCACACCGAGGTCTAAAGACAAGTCCGTGGGTGAAGAGTCGGCTACCGTGACGGTCCGTAGGAAGCATAGGCCGATTTCGTTGGGATGCTCGTAAGCGCAAGTAGCCCGGAATGACTTGGCCGTCACCACTTGGCACCGAATCGAAGGGTGCGGAAGAGGAATAGTACACGATACTTCAGCACCGAAGGCATTGCGAACGGTAAGAGTCTGTCGGTGGAAGTTGACCGTGTGATCCGCACTTGCAAGCCAAGGCGTTCCCAAAATAATGTCGAAGTCTGTGTCCAAAATGTCAAATGTCACCGGTTCGCATGCATGAGGTGCGAAATACACCGGTACAGTCTCGATGTGGTGGTCGATAAATTGTTGGGTCCTTCCGTCCGCCAACTTGATCGTCGTCGGGTTTGCCTTCCTTCGAACTTGTGTGCCAAGGCCAGCCTTTTGCATAAAGGTTTGGCTCAACTTGTCGCTATCCAACAAAGCGTTGCAGGACGCTTGCCCAACTTGGATGCGGACATAGAGGAGCAGTGCGTTGTTGTCGTCGTACTGCTGATTGCGACACTCACGGGCCACCTTAGTAACATATGCAAGGATGTCCCCCACCGCGACTTCGTCATCCGTGGGCGAAGTTGGTGGTGCATAGAAGGATAAGTACGTGTGAAGATGAGCGCATAATGCTGAGCATTGCCCATGGTCGGAAGAGGAAGCCATGCGAAATCCTCGGACGTGAGCGGGTCCAATACCTCTATGTTGAACTCGCGCGCCGAATCCTGTGAAGAACCCTGAAGATGATAAATTGCCATTGTCGGACGAAGAAGATGTCGCACACACGTCTTGTCCTTGAGCATGAGTACCCAACGTAGGAACGAGCCGGACAGCTTAGTCCTCAAAAAAATAAAGAAGAGGACTATCGACTTCCGCAGGTGCCTCGGAACGAAGGGCGGTCACCCGCGAAGCAACCGGTTCCGAAGGCGTCGAGAGTGTCGTCGAGTCACTCCCGACGGTGCTCAGTTTCCCGATTTGCCCTTGCCTTTCGACTGGCAGGCCGTTGTGTCGTGTTGATCGTTGTTACACCACAGACAATAGTGGAATCTCGTGCGTGCCTTGTACGCCGATTCGGAGGGACCGTAATGGGACCATGAGGCTGGAGCTGCTACGCCGGGCCCGGGGCTAGATGCGATGTTTGTCTTCGCCAGGGTTGTCGACCCCCAGACCCGGGGCCCCGGCGGGGGTCCCGGGGG